TTTAGTATATCCCAAAGCTCAGGATTCATGAATCACGACTTCAAAAAAATTAAGACGAGTTTATACTACTTCATCCATCCCCATACAAATAGGTTAACGAATATATAAGTCCAACGAGCAAGCATTAAAAGATAGTCTTTGATCCAAGTACAAAATGATAGAAATGGATTGGTCACAAATTCTTTTAAGAACTTCAGAGATAAAATTTTAGTATATCCCAAAGCTTAGAATTCATGAATCACGAGTGTTGTTTGTGAATTGATATTAAAATCACACTTCGGTAAAATTAAAACGAGTTTACATAATACTTCATCCTAACGAACAATTAATTCCAACGGGCAACGAGCAAACATAAAAAGACAGTCTTTGGTTCAAGAACAAATGATAGAGAATACATTTGGTCAGATAATAACGACGAGCATAAGGTAGTTAAAAAAAATGTCGAACCTATAATTCCACCACCAGCCACATACCCATCAGATGGATTAGGACCTTCAGTGCCACTACCCAACTCACAAGGGAGATCAGCACTCCCGTATTTTTTACCACCTTCACTCATAATCCCATTGTAAAATCCCGATCCTCCTCTCCCTCCATGTCCGGCCCCAGCACCAGCTCCATGTGAGTAATTTCCCTTACCGACACCAGTTTTGCAACCTAGACAGAACATTTTGTTTCGTCAGAAGTGCAAAAGATAAAGAAAACTCATGAGCGAGGGAGATTTTTCCATTCACGTGCCTAGTTCTGCTGCAGTTATCATGCCATCAGTGTCTACAATGACTGTTCGTGCCCTGTGGATATGAACAATACTTCCCTTAATAACTCCATTAACCAGAATATCCTCCACACGACAAACCTGACAATGTACAACAGACAGCAAAGACTTAGAATTTGTGTTTGAAAAAAAAAAAAGAAGGAAAACGAACGGCATAAGGTAGCCTATTTTACGGAAATTCCGGATGCCTACCATTCTATGCAAGAAACTATTTATATAAAGTCTTTTCTTCAGAGACCAATAGAAATGTTAAACTAAAGACAATAACAACACGATTAATTTGATATATTATACATAACAAAAAAAAAAAATGAATTAAAATGTCATTGAAATTTATATATAATTTCAATATTTCTTCATTGGCAACAAAAATGGGCCAATTTTTTTTTCCACAGCCACTTATATAGACTTCTTTCTCTTTAAAAATAAGTCGTAGCCCTAGCTTCTGTGAGTTGCGCTAAAAGAACATTTTCACCAGATTGAAATTATGCATTGAGATTATAATCTTTGAAACTCAAAACCAATCTTCCTCAAAAGGGGTCGATGAAAAAAGGGAGCTCTTACTTGCATAGAGAAGGACAGTGTATAATTAACATGACAATCATCGGGTGGAGTAATCAGATCCATTGGGCAATTTGGACTCTCACAAAGCGATTTAGTCACCCTACACATCAGATGAATAAAAGAAACTCATGTGAATTCGTCAATTCATAAAATTAAAACAATTAAATACCCAGATATATATAGAGTTCAGTCAATTTGCTAACAAGCTTCGACTGTCCTCATCATCCAAGGGAGCCTGAAGTAATGAGCCGGGGCCAACCTAACACATGAAAATATTTCCAAATTAAGAAAGATAGTGATAATAGTTTTGTCAGAGAAAATAAAATACTCGGCGTGAAATGATTTGGCAAAAAAATTGGAATTTAAAAAAATTCCGAACGAGCCTCCTGTTGGGGCAACATTTTACATTACTTACAGTGATATTATAAAATAATGACAATGAAAGTCTCTGGCCTTTGATTGCATCACCCTCACCAGTTAGCTCTAAAAGCCCTTGCCCAAATAGAGCTAAGTTTGCGTTGGAACTGATAACAGAGCTGTCCTGCCACATAAGATAAATAAAGTGAATTCAAGTCAGGCAATGAAAAAGAAAAAAAAAAAAACTTTCAGGACAAACAGACAATATATTCTGTTACTGAGGTGTTATCTGATCATCACCTTAAGAACAAGAAGATTCCGGATTTCGAGGATAGATGTAGCAACCTCGGCATATCCTCCACTGTTAATTTGGATTTGGGAATTCAACATGAGCAACATTTTCACAGATACTCTAAATGCTCCATAAACCTTCATCAATATACGACACAAAAAATAAATAAATAAAAAATAGTGTCATCTCGTTGCTTTGAAATGATATTATAAGTGAGATGAGCATTATCATCACATATTTTGCTTAGAGAGGCTAACCATATGTTCAAAAATAAAATATAAAGATCATATTGCCCCACAACAACAACAACAACAACAACAAAAAGTTGGAGATTTGGAACAAAGGCAACCACATACAAAAATTCTACCTGAATAATCGAATCACTCATCAGAAGTTCCTCAGCAACAAGTTCAAATTCCGAAACTGGAAATTCAGACAACCCAAAAACGATGCTGCTTCGACTATACAAGCTTATCTGACCTCTCACCTTCAAAACGGAGTTCATAATAAATAAATTATCCAAGAAAGAAAAACGGAACTGAAAAAAATAAATGAACCTGGCTTTGCTTTCTATGAACAGATTTTATAGACCACTTGAAATTATCCGGTTTCTATAATTTGGCTATAACAATAATATTAAATAGGAGGATGCACAAAAATATATATGCATATGCATAAATCAGTGTGTGTGTGTGTGTGTGTGTGTTGAGAGACTATGTGTGCAGCATGTTACAAAGGAATATCTCTTTAATATTTTACAATGTACACGAAGACTTAAATTTACTAGGAAAAGGAGATGATTGCATACCTGAACTCTTGTCCAATACAGTGGAACTAGAACTTTTGCATTGTTTTCCACATAAACATTTGTCCACAACGGACTAGTTGAAAAATCCAGTAAAGGAGTTTCGGTTTCAGTTGTGATATTATTATTGTCAACTCGTAAACTCAGTACATATGCATCGAAGTAAGTTCCAGCAGCTCCTGCATTCCATGAACAGCCATTACTCCATCCACCTGTCAGTTGAGAAAATCAACAATGATGGACTAAAAAATGTTGATCGAAACGTACAGAGGAAATATTAATTGTCATCTATATATAATATAACATTATGTTAATTGCTTTCAACCTGATGTTTATTGTTTTCCTCGAATTTTCATTATTTTTAACTGAACGTCTAAATGTTGAATTCTTTATAACAGAATGTTCATTGTTTTCAACAGAAATTCAAATTTTTAATGAAAAACCAGTCAAAAGAAAATGAACACTAATAAGGGAATACATAGAGCTACTATACATTACAGCGGTTACCTAAGTTTTTCACTATCTTAGTTCCTAACATATATTGATCGCAAAATGTTTAAGCATAAAAAAGATGACTCTTGGAAATTAAGGTGATGCATGGGTGTCTGTAAATTCATGTAAATAAAGATAACATCAAAATGATGGTTTTCCGAGTCAAACCTTCTACGGTAAAATCATGTAAGAGAATTAATATTATCTTCAACAAATCTCATTTTATGCATTATAGTAATATCATGAAGGTTTAGGCAAGCACACTTGTACTGACCCGATGTAAAATTAAAAGCAGCCAGCTATAACAAAGGTATATATATAAAGGTTCTGATGTTAACATCAACTATATATAGTTGTTATCCTGATTTGACCCATTAAGAGGTTTACATAATGAATTGCAAGTTAATACTAATGTCACTCCACCAACATCAAAATGCAGCACACAAGACGTACATGAAAGGCACAACCCATATTGATTAGAAATCAACATTGCATTTATGAATATCAGTGGATAAGCACGAACCGTGAGCTGTGACTTCCACATCTTCTTGTCTGCTATAACAGTTTAAAGATATCCTTCCTCCTCCACCTCCACCCCATCCCCTGCCGCCAGCTGCACTTACAATGCCAAAGCCCCTTCTGTACAGTCGAACCACATTCAATGAGTTAAACTACACTTAATTATGTAAGATGTCCAATGAACAAAAAAAAAGGAAAGAGATAGAGAGAGTAAAAAGAAAAAGGACTAAAAACCCTAGGGTCCTAGGTGGAAAGAAGACACTCAAAGGTTCGGAAACATGTAATCAATCAATCGTCAAATGCGATGAACTAATCGAGCTATCGATCTATTCCCGCTAACCCAATCAACAACAAAATCACATAATCCCTAGCCTCAGAGGTTGATAGCCTATTCTACTCATGAAAGTTCTTACTTTACCCTAGAAAATTCGACAAGAAAAATTTACGAGATATTAAACCTTAAACTAAGCCTACAACCTTTACTCATGAAATTTTTACCTTTACCACATGCAATAAGTTAAACTACACCTAATTATGTCATTAGATGTCCAACTGAAAAAGAAAAAAAAAAAAGACTAAAAATAAAAAAAAGACAAAGTCCCAAGACCCTAGATGGAAAGAAGACACTCAAAGGTTCGGAAACATGTAATCAAGCAATCATTGCTCGCGATGAATTGATTGAGCTATCAATCAATTCCCGCTCAAGCAATCAACATCAAAATCACATAATCCCTCCTCCGAGGGTAATAGCCTATTCTACTCAAGAAAGTTCTTACCTTTACCCTCGAAATTCATCGAGTAAAGACAAGAAAAACTTACGAGATCTTAAACCTTAAAGTAAACAACCTGAAAGTTCCTACCTTAACCACATGCAATAAGTTAAACTGCACTTAACTATGTAATTAGATGTCCAACTGGAAAAAAAAGGAGTGTGGAAAATAGTAGAAAAGAAAAAACAATATGAACTAATCGAGCTATCAATAAATTTTCGCTCACGCAATCAACAACAAAATCACATAATCCCTAGCCTCTGGGGATGATAGCCTATTCTACTCATGAAAGTCCTGCCTTTACTCTAGAAATTTCGACCAGAAAAAAATTACGAGATCTTGAATCTTTATCTAAGTCTACAACCTGTACTCACAAGTTTCTACCTTTTTACCTCATGCAATAAGTTAAATTGCACTTAATTATGTAATTCGATGTCCAACTGAAAAAAAAAAAAGGAGAGTGAAAAATAGAAGAAGAAAAGAAAAACATCTTAAGGCTTTTTATCCTAAGATTTACTTAAGAGTTAAGCTCGACAAAGTCGTGACCATTTATTGAACAACCTACACAGTAAGACAGGAGATTTAGAGGTTTACTCACAGCTTTTGAGCATGTAAGATGATACTCCCGCCCGACCCACCACCTCCCAAATATCCTCCATCTCCGCCTTCAGCAGTAACAGATCCATTTACATAGAGAAGATCTTTTACATCAAGCAACACTCGGCCACCGCCATTTCCACCGAATTTATGATCATCCGATGTGCCCCCACCTTTACTACCATAACCCCAAGGATGAGACAAAGTAGACCATCCATAAACATCACCACCCCAATAATTCGTGACATTAGTTTTCAAACACGACGCACCACGGCCACCATGTCCACCACCAGCCCCATCGTAACCGACAGGTGTCCCACTCGTCTGAGACGGTGGATCTCCACCCAATGATGATGCATTCAGAGAAGCATCATATTCCAAAGTCAGATTTGCAGCAGAAAATACGATAGTTCCGGCAACTATTGTTGTGTTACGACCAATTTTGGCATTGCCCGATAAATTGAAACTTATCGTGCAGCCTTCGATTGGACAAATGATTTCGACATTTGAATTTATCTCCAGATTTCCAGCACCGCGTACGTAAATATCAGAAGTTGTATATATGTTTGAATTGAGGAAACAAGTGGTATTGAATGATCCAACACCATCCAAGTCCTCGCATGTAACATAGTCTTCGACTTGGCTTGAAGATCTCGATTTTTGAAATCGTTCAATCTCACTGAGGGACTGTTCTTCAGTATACACCAGACCATGACATAGCAGCACGTATGCCCAAAGGTACCCACTCAAGATGCACCAGAAGATATGATGCTGAATTTTCCATGGATGCATGATCATGAAATGACATCAGCCGATTTTAATCAACACATGATTGAATCATGTCTACTTTCAACACTCGAAATTCTAGCTTTTCCTTAGGACCAACAGAGTTGATACAATATAAGAAAATTTGACGTTCTTCGACTCATCCCAGCGAGACCTGCACATCTCACAAGTTACTTGTAGCCTCGAGGAAGAAGCATATGAAGCAATTCCAGCAAACAAATGCAATTCAAGTATTGACATCGTTTTAACTTAACGGACAATAGATCAAGTATACTAGACCCTTTTTGCATTTTAAAACCTCAGCAAATATTGCCACAGAAGCACATAACTTAGATTTCTCCGTTTGAAAGAACTACCCAGAAACAATACTTGCAGAGGTTAAATTAATCCAAGCAAACACAGATTGGGAACGATGAGAACAGAACAAGAGATGCATACCCAAAAAATAACAAGAAAAAAAAAAAAAAAAAAAAAAAAAAAAAAACTAAGTCATTTACACAAACATGCCCAAACTGTGCACACCGTGCAGTGACAGCCCAGCGGCCAAAGCTTGTACCTTTTGAAACCAATCGCGTCTCAAAGACTGAAACTCGCTCCAAATTTCCCCGTCCGGCCAGAAAGCTCGTACCTTTTGAGACCCAATCGCGTCTAAAACTCGCTTCAATTTTCACCGTCAGGAGATGAAAGCTTGTACCCTTTGAAAAAAACCATCCAATTTTTCACTTCCCCGTCAATGCGGTAAAGCTTGTACCTTTGGAAACCCAATCGCCGTCGGAAACTCGGCTTCAAACTTGCCCCGATCAAGGGCAGAGTGGATAAACTTCTTCCCTCTTTACTGGGTGACGATTGATTTTAGATAAAACCCTGTGCGCAGACATAAACAAATGGCAAAAAGGATTTGGATGTTGAAAATGGTGGCAGTTGGAAAAAAAAAAAAGGGTGAGAGCGACGGTGATGGTGAGAGAGAAGGACTGTGGTGGTATTTTTGGAGTCGTAATCAGTAAGCGTACACTCACACACACACACAGTCCAAAGGGCAGAAGGAGGCTTCGCTGGATTCTTGTTGGAGATCTAATGGCTGTCCACTTTTTTCTCTATACTCACACTATCAAGAATTATTTTAATTTTTTTAATATTTTATTTATTTAAATTAAATATATTATAATAATCTTAATTAATCTATATATATATAAAGAATTACCATTTTTTTTAAAATGACAAGTCAAACTGTGGTCAAATATGGTTGAGCATTAATTGCACACTATTAATAGCAAGTTTTTATTTTATTTTTTATTTACAAATGTGCATCATGAATTGTTGCATTTAAATATGGAGTTTGTTAAGTGAAGTTTGTTACTTATTTTTACTCAAGATTAGGCTGTTCCTTTTTTATTTTCACAAATTTTAAAAAAAAAACAAAAAAAAAACTTTCTTTAACATATAATTGTGTACCACATTGCAAATTTTATTTTATTAAAAAAATAAATTACGTCTAACTTAGTAAAATAAACTTAAGTTAGTACTTAAAAAAATTAGAAATTCTTTTAACATCAACTAGGCTACTACCATTGTTTTAATTGGATGTTGTTATTTTTAAATAAAATAAATTAAAATTCATTTAATAATCAAAATATACAATATTTTTATTCTATTCTTTTTATATTATATATAAAAATAACACAAAACTAATCTAATTATAAAATCGTCAATATTTTATTTGCGCAAGAACGGGTTGTAACATTTTCATTTTCACAAATTAAAGAATTTTTTAACAGAAATAAGATTATCAAATTGCATATTTTTTTTATAGAAAGAAATTACGACTGGTTTAATAATAAAAATAACTTTAGTATTTGAAACAATTTGATGCCTTTTGAACATCAAAACGGCTAATACCATTAGATTAATGAATTCTTTATTTTTTTAAAAATATTAATTCCTAAAGTTGCGGTTGATTTAATTTTCAAAAAGAAATATTTTCGATAACAGAAAATCGTGAATCACATTGCAGCCTAAATTGGTGGATTTGGTTCCATTAAGTTCTAGAAATTTCGATCATTGAATATAATTTGAATTTCAAAATCCTTTCTCATTTTTGATTTATTGAATCGAGACTTTCCGGTAAAAGTACTTTTGTTTTCTTGCCCTTTTTTATAAGAAATAAAATAGCCCTTTACTTTACCCCGGTCTCGCATCTTCAAACCCGCGGACCAAGCGTTCAATTCAAGTATCGATTGTGTTTTTTATTCCAAAAAATCAGATTGCCGAAAAAATTACCTTCTTGAATTGAAAATTTGAAATTCAAAATCCCTTCTCATTTTAGTTGCCATAAAATTGGGCTTAATTAAAAATTTCTTCCTAATATAAAGGATTTTGTTCAAACTGAAGAAAAAAAAAAAATCTAATCATGCTTCAATCCTTGAACGAATAACCTTAAATGAAGGATTTTGTGCCACTTTAAAATTAACAAACCTCTTGAAAATTACAAAATCATAATGAATTTCAAAATTTTTGGTTTCTTTTTGTACGAAATTCAAAATGGTTTAAAAATTTCAAATCAATTGAAATTCATCTCTTTAATTTTTTTCCATAAGTTTCAAAAATTTACAATAATTAAGTCAAATTACAAATGTATTGTTTCAAAAATCAAGAGCATAGTTTTGAAAATAGACAATTTTTTTTTTCAAAATTGTTTTAGTCTTCATTCAATATAAAATAAAGCTAATATGTTAGGAGTTTTTAATTGTTTAAACATACAAATTTTATGTTCTCTTGAACATGCTAATTTTATATTGTTTATAATAAAATGATATACCATAAATTATATGACATGTTAACTCCACATCGTTAATTTCTAATTATTATTTAATATCGTTTACCATCATTTTTTGTTTTCTCTTTTAAGAGAGGATTAATAGTGGTTCCCCACTTCTTGCATTGAGTGACTCGAACTTGATACTTATTTATTATAAATATTTAATATTGTTTATCCGTGCATCGCACGGGATACACACTAGTTTATTAGCATATCTTTTGCTTTTAAAAAAAAAAAAATATGAGAGCAACTTGATAGAAACATTTATTTATTTAAAAAAACAAAAAAAAAATGGACAAAAATAAAAAATAAAAAAAAAGTTGTGGAAAAAAATAAAACGGCCGAATTCTGAGATTCCGTTTTTGCATTAAACACGGATTCTCAAAATCCGTTTTCATTAAATTTTGAGAGAAAAACGGATTTTCATAATCCGTTTTTCTCTAATGACGTGATTAACCGTAATTAATTTAAAGATAAACGTATGATGAAAATTCGTCTTTCGAAAAACGAATTGTGAAAATCCGTTTTAAACTGGAAAACGGATTTTGATAATCCGTTTATATATAATTTTTATTTTTTTTTATAATTTTTAAGAAAAACGGATTGTGAAAATCCGTTTTCAACATGAAAACGGATTTTGATAATCCGTTTATATATAATTTTATTTTTTTTTTATAATTTTTAAGAAAAATAGATTGTGAAAATCCGTTTTAACATGAAAACAGATTACCAGAATCCGTTTATATATTTTTTTTTTATATAATTTTTATGCACACAGACCATAAAATCACAACATTAAAAATACACACAATAATAAAATTCACAATCGAAAGCAGCATCACACAAAACATAAAATCACAACAATAAAAATACACCCAATAATAAAATTCACAATCCAAACATAAATAAAAATTTCCCCACACTGAAACGAGACAATGTCCTCATTGTTCAAGAAAGAAAAAAAATAAAAAAAGTTCAAAATAGAAAGTAAAAAAAAAAAGATAAGTTACTAAACACAGTGACACGTCACTGTGTGTCAGATGGTGGTGGTGGTGGTGGAAAATCCGTGCCCGAGCTCCAGTGAGTGTCCAACTGGTTGAACCGATCGTCCAAGGCATTCCACTGCTGGAATTCCTTCGCCTCCCAAGAATCTCATCGACTATCATGAGCAGTCCAATGGTCGTCGTTTCTTTGAACTGCTTTGTTAATTTCCTCCCAGCGAACATCATTGGTAGCAACGTAGGATTGCCATTCGTCATTATGTGTCTTCCAACGTGCATCATTTATCTGAACGAGCGACCGCCACTCGTCGTTTTGCGCTTTTCTGCGCGCCTAATTGGTCACGCACAACGACATGAGATCGGCGTGAATGGACCTGAATTGCTCATCATGTCGTCCATGGTACTCGGTGAACCAAGTCGGAGCATGCTCGGTAAATGTGGCGTGGGACCTTCAACCACTGGAGGGGGCTGATGTGCCTCGGAAATAGATTGGTCGTCGGCTCCGGTATCATCATCGGAGCTATCTTGCGAGGCGGGGGGCTGTGAAGCCGCATTTGATGGACCGGTGTCTTTGCCCTTTCGATTCAACGCCCTTCGGTACTCTTTATAGCTCTTCCTATCTAAAACATTGCGGATGTTGTACCGATCATATATAAATTGGGTCTTATAGAGATCTCGCTCCGAGATCATCTCGGAGGCAATGGTGTTGTGGATATCATCAACCTCCACCCGGTAATGGATCGCAATAGTTGTGACGATATGGCCCAAATTAGGACCACATCTATCGTCGTTCTTGAGCTCGTAAAGGGAATTCTTCAAGTACTGAATCATGGCGACGGGCTGATCTCAGGATATAGAATGCAAGATGAAAACTTGTTGTTCGCTCACCTTATTGCTCTGCTTTTTGCCGAATATCATGTGGCAAATGTACTTGTGAACAATTCCCAAAGCGACATCGGTTATGCACCCTGAGGAAGCCCCTTGTCTCTGGAATGTCGGGCACGGAGAGATGTCGGGCCAATATTGAGCCGCCCTCTATCCCATCGGACTGTGACGAACGACATTGTCAACCTCTAATTTTAATTGTTCATATAATACCTCGTCCGTGATTTGGTATTCTTTGCCCTTGAGACGAGCCGTGAGGTACCTACCGTTGTCGTGCATCTTAACGGTGGAAAAGAATTCAAGAG